GTAGAAAAAAAATGGATTTGAACAATTGTAGTATCAGGCTGCAACATAACAAAATTGAAAAAAGTGAAGGGGGTCTGAATACTTTCCGAGTGCACTGTATTTTAGGAGAATGAAAAATCCTGTCCTTTTAATCTCTCTAGAGTATGAAGCCAAAATGCATCCCTGTTTCATTCCTCGCAGTGTAGGGAGGATTAGTAAGGGTAGTGGTTTCTAGTTCTGGATTAGCTAACAAGCACAAATCAGAGAGTAAATTTACTAAATTGTAACAGATTATGGTAGGCCAAACTAGAAAGTGAACTGATAAAGAGTCCAAAACCTAGGCTGGAGGCTGATCTGAATACAAGCCACTTTGAATGCACACAAAATACAAGTTTATAGACTGAAAACATTCAAAACCTGGCCATATCTATAGGCACAGTCACGACACTTTGCTTTTTTTTTCCGGTGAAGCAAAATGGCTGTGCTTGCACATGCCTATGGAAACACCTGTTTACAGCTTATAAAGTTCTACAGTCACAACACAACGTTGCTTTAAGGATCTGGAAAAAAACCCCTGTCCTTTATATGCTCTCATGTGTTACAAAGCACTTTTCCTGAAGCATCTGCAGAGTACTAATACTGGTGACACTTCGATGATTTCAAAATAAAACATTTAATGATCACTACAAACCACACAACAAATGTATCTGCTTGCCTTCCTCTTTTCAACACAACCGATGTTTTATATTTAACAACTACATCACATTTTTCATAAAAGGAAGATGGTTGTTTCTCAGCCTAAATGTGTATGTTGAATTTTGGGATAACTTCGGAGAACATTTCTCAGTTTTTGTATTTGCATTTCAGCTTTTTATTAATCTCAGTATGATAGAAGATAAATTCTGTACCATTAAGATATAAACTAAATTAAGGTATGGAAGCTGTACATAAATTTTGTTATTCCATGAGAATAATTAAACTGTCACTTTTACATTTTTATTTCATTATTTTTGTTTAATAAAACAAGAAACAAAAGTTTGTGAAATCAAAAATGATATACCAGTAAGTCCCAGCTCCTTGTGAAGTTAGGTCCATTCCATCAACACCATAGCTATCATCATCCATTATTTTAGACAAGCCAAAATCTGTGATTTTTATTTCTCCACATGCTGTTCCATCAACCAAAAGGATGTTTCCTATCAAAAGAAAAAAAATCTCATTAGAAAAACCAAGTCTAGCCCATTATAGCATCTCAACAACATTTCATTCAGATGATGAGAGCATAATCATTTTTAGGGCTGAACAAAGCATTCAAAGATGTGTTTCGTGATTTGTAGGCGTGTGAACAAAGCACCTCTCTTTGAATCATTCAAACACCCACATCTTTTGTAAGGTTCATGTGGCTGCTTCAAAAGTTGTTCCAACTCTCAATGCATGTGCACGCTTGCCTAGCTACTCTGCTTCATTCGTGGCCCCAGGGAAAGTATTGTCTATGCTTACACAGACACACACAGTTAACATGGCATACTTTCCAAGCAACCACAGCTTCACAGCTTTCATGATTCAAAGAGCGATGCTTTGGTTATTCTGAGATGCTCCTTTTTCAAATGCTTTGCACAGCCCTAATAATTTGACAGAACTGAAATATCTTAAATACAGGCTTGTGGTAAGTCACATATAAATTGACTATTCATGGAACTATCCCATGCAGCACTTGAAACCTGTGAGAGGCAGTTCCTATATCTCAAACACCTTTAAAATCTCAGAATGCATGAAAACCTAGTTATTTACAACTAAGTGTTCAAAAACTTTATATCATAATGATTACTATATATTTCACAAATTCAAATCCAAACTATGGATTTTTAAATAAATAATGCACTTTTGGGTATTGTAATAATGTCATGCTATCCGTACTAGATTTTATAGTTTTCATTTACTAAATACTTTATGGAAGAACAAAAGCTTCAAGAACTGAAAAATAATAACTGCAATGGTATTTGCATTGTAATTCTGTTGTATTTCAGTTTTTCTTGATTGTTTGACTAAGCTCTATAGTTTCTGCATTTTGTTATTTCTATTTGTACATCATCTTGAGCACCCTCTGAGAGAGGAGCAATCCAAAAATAAAATAAAATTATTTCCTGTCTATTCAAAAACAAAGACAGAAATCAACAAGTTTCTGTGCAGTGAAAGCATATTAGGCTATTGTCATTTGATAATGCAGGATAAAACCTGTAACGTTGAGCATATAACTCAATAAGATAGACAGACGGACAGACAGACAGATTTGTCACTGCCCATCTCATTAAAAAATGACTCTGGGTAGTTTATAAAGCAGTTAAAATCAATTTTGTATATTATAAATTATAAATGCATTAAGTAATTCAAGTTAGATCATAATTTGAGCAATATGGTGCACTTCACACTTCCTTCCAATTTTTCCCTAATACAACTACCCTGTAAGGTAAGTTAAGTCTAGAGAAAATGACAAGACCAAGTGAACTTCCACGGTTGAGTGTGGACTTGAATCTGGCTTTCCTTGTCCTAGTCTAACACCTTAACCGCTACCCCACATTACCTGTCTTTTAAGCCAGGGTTCCTCAACCTTGGTGACTTGAAGATGTGTGGACTTCAACTCCCAGAATTCCCCAGCCAGCAACTCTTCCCCAGCTCTTCAAGTCGCCACGGTTGAGGAACCCTGTTTTAGGCAATGCAAACCTGATGGATTTAATACAGAAAAAACAGCAGATTGGCTCATTAATAAGCATGAAGAGAATGATATATTTTAGAGAAATGATATATAAGGAAAGTTGTATTAATATTTCTGACTTACCTGGTTTAAGATCATAATGTATAATGGGTGGTTTAATTTCATTGAGATATCGCAGTGCATTTACTATTTGCATTACAATGGACCTGGCTTCTTTCTCTGTCATTAGTTTATGTTGTTTGAGATAGAAATCCAAATCATTGCCTTCACAATATTCTAATACTGTACAAAACCTGAAAAATGGAGAAACAAAGATAGTTCAGACAATAAAAACCATTTAATTGTTCAAGCATAAAATATGAAATGAATTGGATATTAAAAATATTAATATAATTAAAGTTGCTCTAAAAACAAAAAAAAGTATTATTTTATATACTTACGTATCTGTATCCAAGGAGAAGTAGTCATAAAGTTTTACTATCCTTGGATGATCCAACTCTTTGTGTATTCTGTACTCTCTGCAGGCATGCCTTTTAAAAAAAGGCAATCATTAATCATTACCACTGGAGTATCATTTTAACTTGCCACCAGAACAAGTATTTTTAAAAAATGCTTACTTGTGGTAGTTTTCCTTTTTCTCATCTCTCCAGCTTTTGTTAAGTTGATGTATCTTCACAGCAGCATATCTTTGCTCATAAAGATCAAACGCCTGCAATACCCATTAGATGATAGTAGAAAAAAAATACTGTTGAAAAAATAGATTAACTAAAGTTTCAAGTAAACATCTCTTAACATTTCCCTTTACTACATGAAACTATGTAGCATTAATTGAAACATGCAAAACAGAGATAAATAAAGCTTGAGAGGTCAAGTATAATGCAAAGTTTTTGGGATGAATAGCTAGATTTGGGATGTTGAAAGAGTGTCAGAGATGTTTTCTCCCAGTAGTTCCAACGGGGAGGAGGCTGACAATTTGCCTTTTTTTTCCCTGTGCTATGGTGACTCATCATAAAGTACCCGTTCTTCTAAAGGAAAATTGATGGGGCTAAAAAAAAAATGAAGTACAGCACAAAAGTGAGTTTGAAAAAAACATTTTCATTTCCACAGATGGTGCATAAATATTCTGGGAATCATGCTAAAGGCAGCCAGTTTACTTCGAAGCATGACTACTCCTAAGTCTAAAAATAATGAATTTTTTTTAAAAAATCAGGAGAATCAGGCAGTTCAGTGGACACCCTGAGAGTTTTCTACAGTGAAAATACTAAATTATGTCTACAATTTGATTTTTATTATTATAAGCCTGGCTTTGTAAACTGCTTTGAGACTATATAGTTAAAATGGTGGGTTTTTTAATCATCATCAATATAGTGTTTCATCCAAGATTATGCTTAGTCTTAACTATAATTAGTTGAAAAAGATAATTTCATAATCCACGATATAAAATTTGTCTTAACAAACCATAGCTTTACACCATTGATAAGTGTAGAAGAAACAGCATGCTGTTGTTAATATAAATGAAAGTAAAAGCTTCTAAACTCCTCCTCACAATGGTGCTGGAAGAAATATATTGCTTTAAACATACTAATAATCTTTTAACTGGATTTCTTTAGAAACGTGCTGGCAATCAATACATACATAACAAAAAAAAGGAGATATTACCTTATATACTTCACTAAATCCACCTCGGCCAAGTAAATGAAGTAACAAATATCTCTCATTTAATGTTGGATGGTCTTTGAACCTTAAAAAATTAAGCACAAATGTGGTTTATAAACAAGACAGGGCTTTAAAGTTAGTGCTACCTACAGTCAGGTCCAGAAATATTGGGACATCGACACAATTCTAACATCTTTGGCT